GCCTGCTGCGCAAGCACAAGGACCCAAGTTTGATGCCTGGAAAAAAAAAAAAAAAAAGAATAAGGGTGAAGTACAGAAATAAAATATTTTTTAGATATATAGAAACTGAATTTAACATCTACATATATTTTCTAAAGGATCTGTGCATTGCAGAAATAAAAAATAGCCTAGAAGGAAAATCTGAAACATAAGAAAAAAATGATGAACTAAGAAATTATAAACATGTAAGTGAATCTACACAAACATAATACTAAATAACAAAGTCAAAAAGTGAGTGACAAAAGTTAGATTTCTGAAGTCTCTTTGGAGTTAAGGCATAATTTTAGATAAGTATACAAGGCAAATTTTCAAGGATAACCACTAAAATAACTACATAATTTCCAGTCCATCTGTAGGAGGAAAAACACATTCTAGTTAAAGCCCAACACTAATTATATAAAAAAAAGCAAGACAAGGCCTGGCATGGTGCCTCACATCTTGTGCTTTATAATCCCAACTACTCAGGAGGCTGAAGCAGGAAGATGTTTTGAGCCCAGAAATTGGAGGTCAGCCTGGGCAACATGATGGGACACTGTCTTTTCCTGGCTTCTACTACATTCTGAAGTCTCCCCAGCACTTTTGGACTCATCCTCAGAGCTTCATACACTACTTTCTCAGGCACATTGCCCTGCCTCCCAAGCCTTCTTCTGAAATGTGGATGGAACCCTCCCTGACCCAACTCTTGCATTCTGCATATCTGTAAAACCAGCACCATGGTGACAGATACTAAGGGCTGCTGCCAGCTTGAGCAGTAGCTGGACCATTATGTTTGCAGTACATGATGTTTACATTCTTTGTGGGGAGTTGGTAGGTGTACACATCTTAATTCCTTTTTTCCTTTCCTTCCCCTCTCCCTTCATCTCTTGTTTCCCATTTGGGAAAGATCTGTAGCTCTCTTCTGTTCCAGTTTTGCCTGCCCTTTCTTCCTGCGGAAACTACAAACTTTTCAAATGAACTTTTTTATCCCGATTTTTCAGTATAAATCTTATTAAAAACAGCAGGCAGTTTCCATAATACACCCTGAAAGTTAGGCTGCCTTGTAATTTGCTCCACCAAGTTAATTAGTCCACCACCCTTAATCTCAGTCTCCCACAAAGGCTCAGGACGTGAGCAAAATGTAGACAAATTTTCTGCCAGAGCATAACACACAAGGCTTGGAGTTCAACTGCCAATGGCGTCCTTGTTCCCAACTAAAACCTCTTAAGCTTGATCTTTACCATCTGCATTTCTGTCAGCATTCTTATCTTCAGAGCTCTGACAAGACTCTCCCATCAAACTTAGTTTACAGCATTCTAGGGCTGCTTCTCCAGCTGCCATCTCTAAACCTTTCCAAACCTCCCTGTCAACCAGCTCCAAAGGCTTCTGAGCCACATGGTCAGGTGCAGTCACAACAATGTCCCCACATTTCTGGTGCCAAAATCTATATTAGACACTTTTACTGTTGCTGGAACAAAATACTCGACATTCACAACTTAAGGGAAGGGAGGTTTTATTTTGGTTGATGTTTCCTTCCACAGTCAGTTGACCCCAAGGCAGGGCAGCATGGCATAGGGACAGGGAGAAGGAGAATTGTTCATGGCAAGGTGGAAGGAAGCGGAGAGAAGGGAGGAGCTGGAGAAGGCGGTAAGTCGTTTCAAGTCATGCCTCCAATGACCCATCTCTTCAGACCAGACCCCACTTCCCAACACCAAGCAGCTATATGCCCCCATAATCCAATCACCTTCCAAACATATGACACTTTGGTGGCCGTTTTGGATCTAAAGCACAAAACTCAGTGGAACTGAACTTGGTAAAGGCATCTTTTCCTGATAAGAGACATTTCAATCATTTGGAGACCATTTGGCATTTTAACCCAGATCTTGTGGATTATCCAAGAACTTGTATCTTGGGTTTTTCAGTTTCTTTTGAATTCTGCTCACTTCTATCCCCTCAGCTTGCTACACTGTTTTTCAATGAGGTTGTAAAAGAGATGGTTGCTCACTTTGCAGATCATATAAGGTGCATGGTCTACAAACAAATATATCTTGCATACAAATTCTTCATGAAGTTCATCTCTTGTAAAGGGAAAAAAGAACTGATGTCACCTACTTTTAACTTTAGTTTGTTCACTTCTGGAAAGTGCTTTCATGATTTGTTTTTAGAAATCAGAAAGCATTTTTTAAACTTACCTTTGACTATAAACCTGTTCTGTTGAAAATTTGCACATAAAATATGGATCCACTTGTACATAGAATTATTTCTTCAAGTCTAATTCAAAGTAACGTAATTAGCAGGTTCTGCATTTACAATAATGGGATGTTATCACTATTGCTAAATAGTGCCATCACTCTTCTGAGAAGAGATTGAGACTAATTTAAACCTTTTAATTATCACCTTACTGAAAGAAGTTAGTCGAGATAAACAGTAACAGTAAGCATATTGTGTTTAAGTTGTTAAATTCAGAGCATTTGTAACTTATTGTTATAGGCCCTACTATATGACTTAAGATTTTTGAGTAAGGACGTATTTAAAGTAAAAACTTTAATTTACCCAGGCATGTGGAGTACACCTGTAATCCCAGCTATTAGGAGGCTAAAGAAGGAAGATTGCATGTCTGAGGCCCAGACTGGGCAATTTAGGGAAATCTGACCAAAATGGCAATTATGTTAGAAATTAATTATAAAAAAGACAAATAAAGGCCTGGGGATATAGATCAGTGGTGACATGCTTGCCTAGCAATTACGAGGCCCTGGAATTGATCCTCAGCACTGGAAAAATAAATAAAAACAAATTAATAAACAACCTATAAATTTGGAAATTCGTAAATATGAATAAATATGGACAAAAGACCAAATGTTAGCAGAAGTTCTTTTCCCTTTTTTCTGGTGCTGAAGATTGAACCCAGGGCCTTGTTCGTGCTAAACATAGACTGCCCGCTGACCTTTACTCTCAGCCTAGTGGAAGATTTTGGAAGTCCTTAGAGATGAACAAAAGTGAAAGTTCTACAAATAATAACCTATGGAATGTAATGAAATTGGTACTTCAAAGATTTTTATCATTAAATATTACTATTAGAAAAGAAGAAAGGCTGCAAATTAATGAGTAAAAGTATCCAATATAAAAAGTAAGAGCCTGGTACAGTGCTGCATACCTGTAATCTTAGCTAATCAAGAGGCTAAGGCAGAGGATGGCAAGTTCAATGCCAGCCTCGGCAACTTAGCAAGACCCTCTCTCAAAATAAAAACAAAATTAAAAAGGGTTGGGGTTCCCTACGTTAAATTTCTAGCACTGGAGGAAAAAAGTTAGGAAAAGATGTAGAAAATAAAGATAAAAGAAACTTTTAAAAATTACAAACAAGGGCCAGGGATTTAGCTCAGTGGTTCTGCTGCCTGCCTCACAAGCGCAAGGTCCCAAGTTTGAGCCCCAGTACCAAAAGAAAAAATTACAAACAGGTGTGGTGGTGCACACTTGCTATGACAGCACTGGGGAGGCCGAGTCAGGAGGATTTTGGTGAATTCAAGGCCAGCCTGGTCTACATAGCAAGACCCTGCCCTCCCCCCAAAAATGGCAAAACAAAGTTCATTCTTTAAAAGAGTTGATAAAACTGACAAACTGATCAAGAAAGACAGTACAAATAAACAATATTAGAAAAGAATGTACATATCTAGATACCACAGATTTTTAAAAAGGATATTCTGAACAACTTTTTGTCAGTTATCTTTAAAACTCAGAGACCAATTCCTTGAAAAAAATACCACTTACAAAACTGACTCAAAAAGAAAAAAAACTATTTTCTTCAACAAAGGAACTGTCAGAGAAAAAGTGATGGTGGTTAGCTGGATCTTGACTTAAACTGTAAAAAACAAAAACGGATGATACTGTTAAGCATTTGTATGGTTAAAGAAAGGAAGAGGGGGAAGTAAGCCCTATTTGCATTAGCACATTAAATCTAATGAGTTAAGAGAGGCGAGTGGGGTAGGAAACGTGGTCCGAGGGTGTGGCTGATAAAATGTTCCCAGTTTTTTGGGACTAGAACATTCGTCTTACTCTCATGTAAACTCTCCCAGGTAGTATGAAAAAGATAAGCACACCAATTCATTTTATAAGTCTAGATGACCTTGATGCCAAAGTGAGCAAAGATGACATAGGGATGAAAAATCATAGTCCAGCTTTATTTATAATTCAGATGCACCAGTTTCCATCAAAATATTGACAACGAAACTCAACAATATTTACAATATATTATGACCAAGTTGGGACTGATGATCACTGAACATTAGAAAAATATGATCTATCAATAGATGAGGAGAAACTAAAAGAAAATCCAAACTGTGCTTATTGGGATGGTTTCCCACTCATCATGATTCTGAGTAATCAGTCTATAAATTGGTTTCCTAGCTGATTAGGGGAAGACTGCTTATTAAAGAAAATCCTGATCCTTAGCAGTTCCATTTGCCCCAAAGTTGACATTTCTTCAAGTGGCAAGTAAATCAAGGTTCTATATGTGTGACATATATTGCTTATGCTGGGCTGCTGCATTTGACAGCTTTCAGTAAGAAGGGAAGGTAATGGTGATAACATGTTATGTTACATGTTAACTAACCTTGTTCATCTTTCATGAAAAAAAATCGAGAACTGATTTCGGAAATCAGGAATGCTGATTAAGAAAGCCAGTCATTGGGAAGTGTTCCCATGTGGACGTCTGAAACAAATAGTGGTGCGGAGCCTTGCCACACAGTTTAATTAAGAATGTTCCATTTTCCTGTAAGCACGGTACAGTTACAACTCCAAGAAAGATGTTTGCCTACTCACCCCTCAGGTCTTCAGCCCAACTTTCTCCAAATGAGTGACTTTTCTCTGTGAGCCCTTAACACTATATTTTCCCCCATTACATGCACTAGAAGATCTTGGTTGGTGCCTTGGTACCCAGTGCGGACTTTGCCCGCAGAAGTTAGATTCCGCCGCCCTTCCCCACGGCTCGCCTCTCCCGCAGACTCCCTTCCCCGGCCCGGATTGCTCGGCCTCGTCCGGCTCCCTGATTGGCTACGGGGTGGGAGGCTCGCTCCTCCGCTCTGCATTGGGCCCCACGCGAGGCGCGTCAGTCCCCCGCCTCCAGATCCGTGTCCAGCTACTAGGTCTCTCCCAGCTGCGGTGCGGTTGTCATTTCCGGAGAAAAATGGCTACAGTGCGAGTCCTGAGGACCTGGGGCCGGAGTGCTGGGCGGCTGGTAAGCAGGTTGGGGTAGATTTGAGATGGGCAAGGAGCGTTGTGTTCAGAGTTGTGGAGGAGCGGTGTCTTGCTTTCTCGCGCGAGGGTCGCGCGTCTGGGGACTCGTGATGGAGAGGTGGAGGGATGCGTGCAACCGGCCGAGAAACTGACGAGGACACCAGTCTGGAAACCCACGCCTCCCCATGCCTGGGCACATTTCTTTCTGCGGTGACTTGGTCGCCTGGGCTTCTCTGTACACCGTGAGGCCCAGCTAGTCCTTCACTTGGGGCTTTCACTGAGTGCCTTCTAGATGCCAGATGTGGCGTAAAGTGCTGAGGAAACAAAGGTGTATTCATTCAGCATTTCCTGAGCACCCAGGGTACGCCAGGTACTTGTAATACAAGCCCTGACCTCCGAGGATTTAGTCTAGAAAAAATCAGTCAAACAAAGAGTATCACACACAGTACATTCTTACCCGGAGGAATTGAGAGTTTGAACTTCACTCTTTCTTGGACAGGATTTTTCTGTCTTTCAGTCTGGTCTTGAACTCACTACTGTATATAGCCCAGGCTGGCCTTGAACTCGCCGTCAATCCTCCTGCCTCAGTCTCCCAGTGTTGGGATTACAAGTATGTGCCACCACGCCTAGTTAATGTCACTTCTTTTGGATTTTACTCTGTTCCTCTGTCCACACCACATAGTATTTGAACACCGTATCATCAATCCCCTCCCCCCATTTTTACAGTCTTAGTAACAAGAGCAAACACATCGCAGTGGTAATATTTCACCCTCTCTGCACACCTTTTTTTCCTCCCAGTCCCGCTCCTCCATTTCTCTAGTTGTTCCTGTGGTGGTCAGCTCCAAATCCTACAAAACCTATCGAGAGCCTGCTGCGTACCAGATACTGTGCTAGCCACTGGGGATGAAAATATAAGACAGACAGGCACCACCCCTTTCCTGCCCAGAGATTGCAGTCTTGCAGCGAGACCAGGGGGCAGAGAGAGACAACAATAGCCATTAAGCAATGGCAGCTGGGCAGAAGTGTTAAAATGAACATAGAGCTATAGGATGGGGTGTCAGCAGGGCCAAGTAGTCTAAGGTGCCAGACTCAAGAGCTATAGGATGGACATCTATGGGGCCTTAGGGTCAGAAGTCCCTAGAGGATACTGATTAGCCTGAAGTTTGTGAGGGATAGGTAGGAGGTAACCAAAAGAGAGCTCCTGTCCATAACATGGTACTGGGTATTGGCTACCCTTCTTTAGGCTTTACTTATACGCACTTCCCAGTATTCTTCCTCTGATATCTTTGACCACTATGTTCCAATCTCCTCTTTCACTACACAATTTTTCTTTTTCTTTTTCAGTACTGGGGATTGAACTCTGGTCTTTGCGCTTGCGTAGTAGGCGGCGAAACCACTGAGCTAAATCCCCAGCCCCTCTACACAATTTTTCAAAGCAGACATGTGCTGCAAAAGGACATTCTAGTCAGCCACAAAATATAAATTACAATGGAGCTGAAAAGTTCCTATCCTCCAGTATTTTTACTGTACCATTTCTCTGTTTAGGTGAGTGGATACACAAATGCCACTGTGTTACGTTGCCTATAGTAACAAGTACAGGTTTGTAACACAGGAGCAATAGTCTGTACCACAGAGCCTAAGTAAGTAGTAGGCAACACCATTCGGTTTGGTATGGATATTCTAAGAGGCTGGCACAGATGAAATCACCCAACAATACATTTCTCAAAACATAGACCTGTCATTAACTGTTGTGTGACTGTTGGTATTTCTAGGGGCTCTAACATGGGCCTTCTGCACTTTTCCTACTTCCTCTCTCATCCACTTTGGATTTAGTTACCATCTATGCTGATGACTAAAGTTCCCCAGGCTTCCATCCAGGTCTGTTCCAGACCTGTTGTATCGTACTGTCCAAGAAATCTTCACTTGTGTGTATAGAAGGTGTTTTTCAGCTGCAAGTAATAAAAACCTAACCAATAAATAGGACATTAAGTGTCTGTATATGGAGCATCTTCAAATTTGATGATATTGATTGGCATTGATAAAGTGGCACATTATTATTAGGCTGTCACTTCATTGGATCTTTCCTTCTTGATTAGAAAAGGACCATGCCAGCTTCTTACTAAATAGTCAAGGCAGGAAAGAGGAAGAGGTGGTACCAAGCAGTTTTGCTGGCTAGAATAGGGTCACACAGCCTACTGCCACTCAGTGCTATTGCAAGGGAGCTTGGAAAAGTTCATCTTCAGCCATCTCTGTGTGGGCCATAATGTCTTAAGACATTATGCCCTCTAGGCTCTGGAACTGAACTCAAAAACCTGTTTCTCTCAATTGTCGCTTCTCTCCCTCCCTGTCTCTCTCTCTCTCTCTCTCTCTCTCTCTCTCTCTCTCTCTCTCTCTCTCTCCCCTCTCTCTCTCTCTCTCATCACCATTCTCCACTCTGCCCTTAATTGCAATATCCTGGTCCTTTCTAACTGGACCGTCTGCCTCTGTTCTGTGCCTTTCTCTGTAGTGTGGCCAGGGTAATCTTTTCTCCATAGTGTAGCCAGGGTAATCTTACAAAGTAACACATACACTGGACAATGTAATTTTTTTGCTAAAGACTACCTTCAACAAAAATGTCCAAAGCTGAGGTTATTTATGATCTGGACTTTTCCAATTGCTCAGGCTTTATTCTGTATTATAAACTTACTTGTCTCAAGTGTGATGGATGCTTCCCCATTTTGTTCCACACTAAACTAGACTGGAACCCTATTAAACAACTTGAGTTAATTCTGTAGTCTTTTCACTTCCAGGCCTTTACTCCTGTATTTCCTTTGCTTTGAAGACTTGTCTTGCTTCCCATGGCCTTATATGCAATAAAACTCTGCTCCTGGGGTACTCCCATTTATCCCTCAGGTTTTATTTCAACGTAAGTTTCTAAGTTCTTGCTTTTGGATTTCCTTGACACACTATTTCTTCTGTTGTAGCACTGTGCTAATCATCTTTTTACTTGTCTTTATCTTTCACTCTATTTTCCCATAGGAGAAAGAATTATGTCTGTTTTGCTCCATACATAATCCCAAATGCCTGGCACATTGTAGGTGCTCATAAATATTTATTGAATGATTCAGTAAAAAACAGGGTTTTTGCTGGGCATGATGGGTCATGCCTGTAATACTAGCACTAGGGAGGCTGAGGGGGGGAGTATAACTATGAGTTTGAGGCCACCCTGGGCTACATAAGGAGTTCAAGTGCAGCTGAACTACATAGGGAGACACTGTCTCAAAAAACGAAAGCAAAAAACCAGTTGTCCCCTTCATCTTTTATAAAAGGTTGCAAACAGAAACATCTCTTACTAAAATGAAAAAATGGAAACAAAGTCTTTGTAAATAGGGAGGAGAGGAGGGGTTGAGGGAGGGCAGGGGAATGGGGAAAAAAATAAGAACCAAGATAAACTACGTAAAGGTACGAATTTCCAATGATGAATGTCATATTGTATATCTAAAATGTACCAATAAAATTAATTTTAAAAAAGCAGCTCTTACCACCTAGAGTAAATTATTCAGGTGCAGATGTCCTTATGATGTCATGTTTTACATTTACCTAGGATATCATGTCATTTGACTCTTCAATAACTTAACCATGTCAGACTGGAATTCTCTTTTCCTGCAGAAAAGTAAATAATTTGAATTCAGAAATTACATACTGTCTCATATTTAGCTTTTAAATTCTGATTCCAGTACAGTATCTGACTTTAAGAGTGCTTGAAAATTACCTTTTGAGTTGTTATTATCTATTTCCTTATTATGCTAATCTGTTTAATGTTTTCATTTCTCTCTCTTTTTTTTGGTACTGGGGATTGAACTCAGGTCCTTATGCTTGCAAGGCAGGCGGCGGAACCACTGAGCTAAATCCCCAGCCCCATTTCTCTCTTTTTTGTATTCTGATTGCAGACATTGAATTATTAGTAATTACATTGTTGTGAAAGGAGATTGCCTCAGACAAGTTGGGACAGGTAGTCTCCATAGAATTAGATGTCTTTAAGTATTATTCATAGGTAAATTTAGAATTGCCTCAAATATAAAATACATAACTGGAGTTGTAGCTTGTATCTAGATGCTACCCCTCCCTCCCCAAAGCCTCATGCTCTCATAGGTGGGGCTTTTCAGAGGTGACTGGACCTAGGATGTGTGATACTGGAATAAGAGTATGTGATAACTAGAGTAGTCCACTGACTGGATTGGCATAGTTCTGGGTGCGGCTGAATGGATTTACTGAAGAGGGATGCCCTGCCCTGAGTGTGGGTGGAGCCAACCAGTGAGCTTGTAGTCTGGATGGAATATAAAGCTAGAGAGGGAAGGTGGGCTGGTTGCTTGATGCTTCCTGCCTGTCCTGCTATGGACTGTTTCTCCTTTGCCAAACTGCCGGGCCTTCGAGCCAGCTGACTATGGACTAAACCTCTGTAAACTTGGCACTAAAATAAATTTTACCTCCTTTAACTTGTGGGTGTTGAGTATTTTGTCCCAGCAATGAGGAAGTAACTAAGACAACTGGCAAATCTATAAGCCTGACGTTTCAACTGGAGGTTTCAAATTTTCTGCTTACCTACTGCTCTTTAAACTTTATTAATCTAATAGTCTAATTCTAAAAAAAGAAAGTCTTCTAGCTTAAAAAATTATTTTTCCTTTTTTCTAATGCCTTTTAATCCATCTATTCTATATCTTCATTTACATTTTATTAGCATTTATTAATATTTTTTCTGTCGTGTGTGTGTGTGTGTGTGTGTGTGTGTGTGTGTGTGTTTGTCTCACCTAGCCTATAAACTCTTTGGACATAGGGATATTTTATCTGCTTCTGGCAATATGACACAATAAAAAGATCTTGGGCTTTGATGTGAAATTTATTTGGCTTTAGAGCTTAATATTGCCACTTACTTGCTTTGTGACCTTTGAAAAATTGCTTTACCTTTCCCATAAATTTCTCACATATTAAAGATGACTAGCAAGCATTTTCCAGGAAGTAGTTGTGAGTTATAAAGAAGATATTATAAGAGCCAGGGCAGCTCAGTGGCACAGTGCCTGCCTAGCAAGTGCAAGGTCCTGAGTTCTATCCCCGGTACCAAAAAAAAAAAAGAGAAGATATTGTATATAAGGACAAAAGTACCTAGCATACAATAAGGACTAAATTTGTTAGTTTGTGCCTTTCTGGATCCCTTTAATAGTTCCTCAATTAGAGTTGTGTTGTTGAACGTTGTATTATTGCACTCCAGTTGTCTGGTTACTGCTGACCAACTCAAAGGCGACTATATATTCGGGTAAAAAAGAAAAAGGATTTATCAATGCTTATTTTGAGGAGGCGGAAGAGCCTATTTGCTTCAAAACACCATCTCACATATACAGGTGTGTCTGAGTGTAACGTAACAAAGAGTAGAAGGGGAGGGAATACAATGAACAATAGATATTTTTTAAACTTTTTATTACTACTGTCAGGCCTGCCCTAAATCAACAGGAAAAATAAACAGGCTGCTTTTAACAAATGCCAGCAGCTTCCCAGTAAGTGAGGCAAATGGACTAAAAAATATGGTCTATCACCCACCTGGCTCCGAACAGTCCAAGAACTGTATACATACATGAGCAGACAGTCCAGAGCCCCTTCAGTACCTATATAAGCCTAATTCCTTTTCCAGTTACACCACCACTCCCCGCTCCCAGCCGTTAGAATCCCCTGACCTTAGTCCCTGTTCCTATTCACTGGAATAAACTTTTTTTTCCTCCCAATGGAGAGCCTGTCTTTTGTTGATCACTTGGATTCTTTATAACACTACATGTTTGTAATACATAATGATTACATTCATTGTGGGAGTTGGTACATGTACATAACATTTTTTTTTACCAGCATCAGATTTACTTATTTATTTATTTATTTTTAAATCTTCATCAAGTTAATTATCATAAACAGAATAACAGCCAGACTAACAGACCAAAAAGCATGTAAAACACTTATACTAAATCAAGGTACACTTTTATTTTTTTTATTTTTTATTTTTTTGGTACCTGGGATCAAACTCGGGACCTTGCGTTTGCAAGGCAGGTAGCGGCACCACTGAGCTAAATCCCTGGCCCCAAAGGTACACTTTTAGTTACATTGGCCCATGCTAGATTACAATAACTTCTCTCTCTTTTTTTCCTATTGTCGGTCTTTTATTTTATACTTTATATATTGTGTTTCTCGTGTAAGAGAAACCATTCGATATTTAAGTTCATGTGTCTGATTTACTTCACATAATATTATGGTCTCAAAGTGCATCCATTTTCCTATAAATGACTCGTTTATCCTTCTTATGGCAGAGTAGTACTTCATTGTGTATAGATACCACATTTTCTTTATTTGTTCATCTGTTGATGGACATATAGGAATTGCGCTACTATAAACATGGGTATGCATGTATCACTTGATGTCTTAACTTAGTTGGGAAGATACCTAGAAGGAGAATTCTAGGCTCAAAAGGAATTTCTGGTACTGATTTACATAGTGGTTATACCAGTTTACACTCCCACCAACTATGAAGAAGCCCCTCACCCCCACCCCAACCTGCCCAGCCTTTCTAGCATTTGTTATTATTTGATTTCTTAAGGATAGCGATTCTTTCTGGAATGAGATCATTCTCAATGTTGTTTTAATTTGTATTTCTGCAATGGTCAGTGATGAAACAATAGACATTTTCTGTCTAGTTCCATCCCTTCCTGGACTCAGACCTCTCCCTCCCTTGGAAATGAAATTGAGCTCGACCTCCTGCTGCCAGGATCTGCATATTCTGCCTGCTGGGGAGCCATTTGTGCTCTGGGCCTGAGGAAGTATGGAAACTATTTGACTGCGAAGGAAAAAATAAATCTAACTTTGGCAGTTCCATTTTGCAGTGCCAGTTAGAGTAGGACCTTCTAGAAGTCTAGTTTTCTTTGAAAGGTTTGAAAAGAATGAACTATTTTATTTAAATCAAAATGTTCGTTTACTATCCCTCCATTTTTTAGCTGATGAAGGAAGCAGAGATTGATTTATTTGATTTTGTTGTTGACCAAGAGCCAGGATTGTGGGAGTTGAAGGAGAAAGGAAGAACAAACAAAATGGAGGTGTTGGGGGAAAAGAATTATTTCCCTGTTTGCTCAGTCTTAAGCTAACAATTTTAATTATTTTAGTTAGGCCCCTGGTTCTTGAATGTTAATATTAACAAGAATAAAATACACCTAGTTGATTAGCTATAAAGATCAGTTGATGTAGGGTGAGCTCTTTATAGTAAAGCCAAGATGCATAACTTAAGGTGGTCCCTGTTTTGAGTAATGGATCTTTAATTTTTCTTTGCCCTCAGAAACCAGTAACAACTTGAAAATTAAAGTAAAAAAAATCACTTAGAATTTAAATATATTGTTCCTGTTAGCGAAACAAACTTTTGATTTTAAGTTATTTGCTTTCAGAAAAAAATAATTTTTTTTTATAAGTATGTGTTAAAATATGGTTATTGCAAGCTGGACATGGTGGTGCACACACTGTAGTTCCAGCTACTTGGGAGGCTGAGGTGGGAGGATCTCACACACCCAGGAGTTTGAGACCAACAGAGGGGGACCTCATCTCACAAACAAAACAAACCAGAAGACCATAAAACATAACATAATACATGTTATAACATAGCTTTAAAATTTTAAGGCCTAATTGTCACTTATATACATGATTTTTTAAAAAATAAAAGTGATATTCTCCTACATAAATGAAAAATATATCAGTATTCTCAGAAACACTAGGTAGTTAGAAATTATGGTAGTTAATGTTTAAAATGTGTTGTAGGGCCAGGGATTTAGCTCAGTGGTTTCGCTGTCTGCTGCGTAAGCACAAGGACCCGAGTTCAATCCCTGGTACCAAAAAAATAAAAATAAAAATAAAATGTGTTGTAGTTATCAGGTAGTGTGTTAATAAGATTGAAATATTAACTTTCAAAATAAAGTATTGTACCCTTTAGACACCTCGATTTTGATATATCAAGCTGAATACATTCGGCCCTAACATACTGTTTTTCATTATATTAAGGTGTTACATAAAGCATACACCAAATCCTGGGTATGGTTCCTGGCATGAGGGTGGAGAAGAGGAACCTTTGGGTATAATATTATACATATTTTTCAGTGTCTGAGATGCTTTTAGAATTCTTTAATAGCTTTATTTCAGGAAGTCTAATGACTTAAGTGTACCTACAAGCTGATGTATGAGGAATTCTGAGCATGGATAGTAAACATATGAACAAATATGATTTTATAAATAAGATTACTAAACAGAACAGCACTAAAACATTCTCTTCCTGCTAGAGTTTGAGTTCTTTTCATTTCTTGAAAAAAGAAATAAGAAAATAACCAATATTCATTAACTTCATTATTCCAGCTGCCAAGTATTCCAGTTTCTGCTTAGATAATTTTTATTGACATTGTGATAGTAATTATTCTACTTTTAGAACTGAAATTCAATATATACTTAAAGAAATAAGCTTTTGCAATAATTTATAAACTTTTTGATTTTCTTTGTAGATTTGTGTTCGCTATTTTCAAGCATGTAGTAGTGGTCATCTTTTGAAGCCAAAATGTGTGTGTTTGTTGGGTTACCCTTCCTTCAAGTATAGTCATCCACATCACTTGCTGAAAACAGTTGCTGGTAAGTGAAATAGCACATACAAAATAATGCTTTTTATCCTTTTAAAAAATGTAGCTAAAGACTTGCCAAAGTAAAAAAAAAAAGTCAACTGCATTTCTAGACTAGTTTTCCCCACATCTGCCCATTTCCCATTTTTTCTCCCCCGGCCCCCATACTTTCCTTACTGCTCATGTCATCATTGTATCAGGATTGGGTTGTATCGGGCCACCTGTTCTTTATCATCTGTCTTATCTAAGTGCAATATTTAGCATGAGTATGGCCTTCTTAGTCAAGGTAAAGTGTTGACTTAATAGAAATAATCTTTATCTCTTTCCACACGCTGTTGTATTTCTTAGCTGAAGCACCTACTCTGCCATATTATGATGGTTTGTTGAAACCAGCTGATGTGCTCCTAAATGGAAAAGTTCCTTGCTTCTACTGTGTAATTACCGTTTTCTACTCTCTGTAAAAAATGTAAGGGCTGGGGTTGGGGATTTAGCTCAGTGGTTTTGCCGCCTGCTGCGCAAGCGCAAAGACCAGAGTTCGATCCCCGGAACCAAAAAAAAAAAAGTAAGGGCTTAAATATTAGATTTGGCAAGGGCTTTCTTCTTTTCTTCTTTTTTTCCCCTGATGTTCTGTTGAGTATCTCGATTGTAAAAAAAATCCTAGACTCTTGTTAAATAATTCAGCCTTGACAAATACATGAGGCCTTACAGTGTGGTGGCAGTGAAAAATAGGGGAACTCCAGGCTGATGCTGTTCTTCCATGCATTTTGTATGTCATCCTCTACAACATCCTAAAATATGTAAACATTACCTTCACCACTTTTGTGTGTGTGTGTGTGTGCTGGGAGTCAAATCCCGGGCCTTGCATATGCTAAACATGTACTCTACCATTTAATTATAACCCTTGCCCAAGATTTCCGGTTTTTTTAAATTGATTTTTACTCTTGCTGTTTCTTCTCAGAGAAAATGTAGGCCATTCAAGCAGAAATGGCCAAAATTTGTGCTCCAGCCTCTAAACACTTACTACAAACTTCAGATTCCTGGACCCACCAATTCCAGGCTATGTGGGTTTACTGGCCTTACCAGTTGCTAGCTGTGTAACATTTAGCAAGTTACTTCATTTCTGTTTCATCATCTGGAAAATGGAAGTAATTGTAGCATTTAATTCATTGTGTTACTGTATTGCCAAAATTCATTAAATCAACAAGCATTTGTTGATTATCCACTGTGTGCTAAGGCACTTGCCTAGGTGCCTGGGATATATCAGTAAACAAAATAGATACTTATATTTCAGTGGATTAAAGAAATTATAATATCTAAAGTATTTGTACCAACTTTCTCTGGACACTCATTCTCTTTTAAAGGCCATTTCTTCTGCTTCTCTCTTAAATTTCAGCTTTTCATGGGATCTCACCCTTTTCCCTCTCTTCTTCTTATACCCCACCTACACTCATGACTTCAGCTACCATCTATCTACTCATGGATCACTTCAAAATCCATAGCTGTAGCTCAGACATCTCAACAGTTGCCAAACATCTCTGTTCCAGTGTCCCATGTAAAATGCCAATTTCCCAACCTAAGTCTTCTACAGATCTCGTCTCTTACATTCTCTAACTCAGTAAATAATTAAGCTAGAAATCTAGGGTCATCCTGACTCCTATCCCACATCAAATCAATTCCCAAAGCCTATCAATTTTATATGTTCTCCATTTCTTAAATCTGTATGCTCCTTTTTAGACAGCTTTGAAGAAAATGTAAGTTCTGTACTTCAGCTTCTTGCCTGAAGTAGGCTTCTGATTTCCAGGTCTCATTTTGCCTCAGCCATCCTGATCCAATCCTGTCCACCTGTGACACTTCTGCCAGAGATACTTTTTTTTCTGAAATTAATACACCTAAAGTCTCAGATCTGCTAATGATTCTGTATTAGACAGTTATTGCTGAATAACAAACCACCCCACAAGTTAGTGGCTTAAAGCAGCAATGATTAATTGTTCTCTGGATTCTGTGGGTTGGCTGGGTGGTTTATCTACAAGTTTCACTAGTAAGACTACTTGGTTAGAGGATAATCTGGACTAGGGGCACCATGCATGTATCTGGCAATTGCTGCTTGCTTTTGGCTAGGACAACTTATTTCTTCTCCATATGGCCATTTATCCTCAAGTAGACCAGTAGTCCGAAAGGGATATGATAGAATCTGTGAGGAACTTTTAGGCCTAGGCTTCTAAACTTGATTAGCTTTACTTCTGCAGCATTCTCTCAGCCAAAGCAAGTCACAGGCCAGCATAGATTTAAGAAGTGGTGCAATAGACTCTACCTCTTGATGGAAGCAACTACAAAGAATGTATAACCATATTGTTAATTTATCACATTGATTTGTGTGATTTATGTAATTTATGTGATTTATATGATTTATATTCCTTTATTACTGGCTTCTGATGCCTTTAGGAAAAGGAACACAATGTCTTTTTATCTCTGGCCTAATTGTGTGCTGCATATTCTGTTGTTAGTCATATAGAGCTGTCTGTCATTCTCTACCCAGGTTTTTCCTTTTAATCCTTTAGTAATCATTCTTTTTTTTTTTTTTGCTACCAGGGATTGAACTCAGGATCTCATGCTTGCCAGGCAGGCACTGTGCCTCCTAGCTAAATCCCTGGCCCTAGTAATCATTCTTGAGGACAAATATTTGCATACCTTTTGAATTGTTTCTTAGGGAAAAACAATCATGAAGAGGAGAGGTTGAGACAGAGCCTCTCTATGTAATGCAGGCTGGCCTTGAACTCACTAGGTAGCCCAGTTTGACCTCGAACTCATGACTATCCTCTTGCTTCAGCCTCCTGAGTGCTAGATTATAGGCATGTGCCACCACACCTGGTGGGAAAAACTTTAAAGTGGGATTATTTATTGAGTTAAAGGTGTACATTTATTTTTACAAGGATTTTTTAGAAAGCCAATTTTTTTTTTCAGAAAGGACAATAAGTAGTGAGAGGGCTCAACATTACAGAGGAAATAAGAGGTAGCTAATACCTCCATACCAAAAATGTATTTTACATTTCTTTCCTGTTAATTTCTCATATTTACTAAAAAAAATTTTACAACCTAATTAACTTGTTATATATTTTATAAGTAAGCATTGCTAATGGTCTGAAGATACAAGAGCATTCCTAAATAGGTTCAGAGCCATTGGTAACCTGGAAAACTGAGGGTGCCTGTGTGCATCTAAAATGTGTAACTTCAATTCTTTTCATAGTTAAATCTAATATTCTAAATCTCTTTGCTGATTCCATTAACCTTATTTGGCTGTTAAATATAGCCCAATATTGAATAATGTTTATCTTCTTGAATAGGAAGATTTGTAAGCATATTCTTTTGGTTCTTCTAGTGAATATTTCTTAGCCAGGCCGCTGCCTCTGTCCCATACGATTGATTATAAAAGTTACTATTTAACCAAATATATCCATAATCCAAATAAATAGATATAGAACAGTGTATTTCTCTAGCCTCCTTGATGCCCAAGGATACAGAAATAGTGAATGTGGAAGCCTGATTTCTTCTACTGTTCTTAAAGAATTAGTTTCAGTCTTTTGATGATTAGAATTTATCTTTATTCTTGAATTTTTAAATAGTGATTAAATAGTTATTCAGGAGGGCATTGGATCATTAATTTGAGACTTTTTAAAAAAAAAAAATCAAGATTGTTTAATGGCTGTAAAGAGTTGCATATTTGATTTTCTTTTCAAATTGCTGTAAACAGATAGCTATGCTTGTGGATTCTTAACACTCATAGTGTCTCTGAGATTTTACTTAGGGCATTATGAGATCTTATGTTTATTACAACTATATTGACACATTACAGTGATTTACAAGGTGTCATGTAAAGTTTCACCTAGGATGTCTTATGACCGGAAAGAAATACATCAGTATTTAAAAAATTTAACTCTGTAGCAAGTTTTGATTTCCATTTAGATGATAATGGGTAATGTAAGTAATTAAAGTAGTGGCTCCAGATTTCCTTGATGACATTATTCTAAGTTATTTAACAAAATACATTGAGTTCTTTTAGCAGAATACAGACTGTGTTTGGCTCAGCTCTCTCCCCATGGATGTCCTCACCATTAATGGAGAAGAGAGGCCTCTCTACATTCCTGAATTGGTTCAGAGCCATTTGTAACCTGGAAAACTGAGGGTTCCTACATGCTTTCTATGGAGCAGAAGTCCTTTGTCTTTGAGGAATGATTAATTATACAGTATCATTGGCATTGCAGTATTGTAAACTGGGAGTAGAAACTTGAAAAGGTACAGAAAATGGAAAGAAGAAAGAAAAGTCTGAGGGCTAAGTTCGCAGAAGATAAATTGCACATATAAGAATTTCTCCATCAAGTCTGCTAACTATACAGCTGCCTAGTTTTCAGCCATAATAGTAAGAACAATTATATGAAGTCAAAAGAAATCTAACTAAGAGCAGGCCATTAATAGTTATTAGTTTTATAACATAAAACAAAGAGATCTATCTGGGTCCCTCTTTATATAATATTTTTGTACTGTGGTTTCAAAATCTCACTAATTTATTAATAGGGCCTTCTACTGCTACATAAAAGAACATTATTTTCGCATTTTCTACTAAAGCTTTCTTAAATTGAATTCAAAATAAAGAGAAATATTTTTGGAGTACTGATTTCAAAATTGGAAAAAAATATTATCATTAAATAATAATACTGCTGGGGAAAAAGGACATTATTTTGGAAGTTGGAAAATGTAATTTCTATGGCAAGTTAGCAAGACTGTCATGAAATAACATTTAATTTTGTGGGGGAGTTTTTTTGGTGGAACCAGGAATTGAACTCAGGACCTTGTTCTTACCAGGAAGGTGTGGTGCCACTGAGCTAAATTCCTGGCCCTAACATTTAAATTTGTAATGGTTATGAATAATGGTTTTGCTTTTAAAATTATTAAATGGTGTTTTTATCTGTAAGATGGAACAGCTTCTGCCTCTCCTGGAGAAAATTTTCTAATTTTAAATATAGAAACAACTATTGGTAATACACATTTAATGAGATTATTTCTCATTTGTCTTTGAAGCTCTGCATGGACAGGTTGTTCAATTCAAACTCTCAGACATCGGAGAAGGAATCAAAGAAGTAACTGTTAAAGAATGGTAAGTTAATCTGAAAAAAAATTTAAGTAGATATAAATGAGTATAAATAAGTAGGATTCAATTTGAATTGAGAAACTACTTTATATGCATAATGCATTTTGTAAGCAGTAAAGTATAATTACTTTGTGTTGACAGTATGCCGGTGATAAAATTTATCATATCAAGGCATTGTATTTGATGTGATTTATTAATGTTTTTTCCTTCTTTTAAAAAATCCTTTTGCTGCTTATCCCTTGCTTCAGCTGAAAAAGAGAAATTGACTTCTAAAAGATGATAAATGCTTATAAGATCACATATGTATGTGTCACATATATATAATTTGGGGGTGGTGGTGTGGGGATCAAACCCAGGGGCTTGCACATGAGAAGCATGCACTTTACCATTGAGCTATACCCCTAGTCCAGGTTTTTAAAAGTATTTAATGGATGACCTCATAATTTCCTGCCAAACCATTTAAAAAAATCATCCTATAATCTAAGCTCTGTTCATCATACTGAAAATGACTTCAGTAAGAACGTATATTTGACCCACCGTTGCATGACAGTTTGCCTATATTTTCAGATAATATTTTGCCTAAAGAAAATAAATCAAAAAATAATTTTTGAAAACATTAAAATATTTTTATGTACATTTATGGCTTAAAGTCAGAAACCTTCTACTTCCTTAGCTATCTTCTACCCTTTTTCTATTTTTACCTTGTAGGAAAAAAAATTTTCTGGATACTGAACCAAGTTTTAGAGGTTTTTAGAAATATTGGTTAAGATGAATACATAGATTTTTCCCACCATAGTTTTACACTGTTAAAGATCTGATTCAACCAACTGAATTTTATTTTCCTGTATTTTTTATCATTATTTCTTTGAAAGTTAAAGGAGAACATAAACATCCCTTACAGTTACATTTTTAGTGACATTATGGACTTGTGAGATGAAAAATAGACTTAAATCAGAAGGGACTGACTTTAAATCATATTGACTGCCTTAGTTATGACTCACATATTCTTGTACATAAGCCTTCTAAAGCATATTTAAAATGTTGAAGGCATTGATATACAAGGATAGACTAAAATAATTCTAGAAAGACTGAGGGGACTCATTTAAAATTCATGAAATTATAAAGGATGTAGATTGAGGATATCATGGGATTTTTTAAAGTTATTTCTAGAAAGAATGCATATTTCTTAAAGTTTGGAAAAGCCTACTACAAGCTTAGCATCTCCTATCTGAGGGGCCTGGGATTTAGCTCACCTACCTCACAAGTGCAAGATCCTGAGTTCAATCCTTGGTACCAAAAAAAAAAAGCATAACTCTTATCCAAAATGCTTGAAATGAAAAGTATTTCAGATTTTTGGGGTTTCATTTTCTTTTTTGTTTTGTTTTTTAGAATTTTTGCATAGATTTCATAATTGAGCGTCCAAAAGCTAAAATAGTCCAAAATCCAAAATCTTTTTCTATCAATGCTGAAAAAGTTTGAGATTTAGATTTTCAAATTACGGATGTTAAACCTGTAATATAAGAAAATACTATCTCTCTCTTTTTTTTTTTTTTTTTTTGCGGTACTCGGGATCAAACTCAGGACCTTGCGCTTGTGAACCAGGTGCTGTGACACTGAGCTAAATCCCTGGCCCTGCAGTACCTCTTTTTAAAAAACATTTAATAAATTTCTTTTTAGTTTGAAAGGGTTCCAGCAGAAAACCTAAAAGTGTAATTAAAATTTTAGATCTATGAATAGTTTTTAAATTTTTAGTGTTTCTTTTTGTTTGTTTTTGTTTTTTGAGATAGGGTCTCACTATGTAGTTTAGGCTGGTGCTGAACTCACCGTGATCCTCCTTCATTAGCCTCCCGAGTGCTGGGATTACAGGCATGTGTCACCACGGGCAGCCCAAAATTTTAGTGTTTTTTGGGGATACACTGTAGAGACTCTGGAAGCCACTATCACTATCTCTGAAGCATTTCTTGGTGCACCATCTGGAATAAACATGGGGCTGGACACGAAGTGATGTAATTTGGCGTAGCATTTACCTTGTCAGGATGGTTGGTAAACATGATTGCTTATGTAAAAGTGTCTCCTGTGTTTCTTTTAGGTATGTAAAAGAAGGAGATACAGTGTCTCAGTTTGATAGCATCTGTGAAGTTCAGAGTGATAAAGCTTCTGTTACCATCAGTAGTCGTTATGATGGAGTCATTAAAAAGCTCTATTATAATCTAGATGATGTTGCCTATGTGGGGAAGCCATTAGTAGACATAGAGACCGAAGCTTTAAAAGGTATTGTAAACGTGTTCATTTGTTTTACCAAAATGATTACTTCTGTCCTTTTGTCACTGAGTCTTAATGAAAAGTGATCTTTACTTTTAACAACTCACAGGGTTAGACATTAGGGTTTAGAAGACAAAATTAGGAAAACAGAATTGTCTGTGTTGCATGATTTTATTGTTTTTCTTTTTTTTTTGGTACCAGGGATTGAACTCAGGTCCTTACGCTTGCGCAGCAGGCGGCAAAACCACTGAGCTAAATCCCTGGCCCTGTTTTTCTTTTTTTTTTGAGACAGGATCTTGCTATGAAATTCAGGTTGGCCTTGAACTCAATGTGTAGCCCGGGCTGGCCTCAAATTCAGCCTGCCTCAGTCTCCCAAGTGCTGGGATTGCAGGAGTGTGCCACCATACTCAGCTACATGATTGTTTTTGACCAGTTACCAAGTTAAAAATATGTAGAAGGTAGCTGAATTTTTTTTTTTTTGGTACCAGGATGGAACTCAGGACCTTTCACTTGCAAGGCAGGCATGGTGCCACTGAGCTAAATCCCCAGCCCCTAAAAATATGTAAATTAAGACTTCATTTATCTGGAGTCCTGCCATCTGGAAACCTTAGTGTTCAAAGAAAAAAAGGGGCTGGGGATTTAGCTCAGTAGTGCTACCTCCTGCCTTGAAAGGGCAAGGTCCCAAGTTCCATCCCTGGTACCAAAAAAAAAAAAGAAACAATAAGCACACAGGAATTAAAGATTCAGGTCCTGGGCCAGGGATTTAGCTCAGTGGTGCCGTCAACTGCCTCCCAAGCGCAAGGTCCTGAGTTTGATCCCAGTACCAAAAAAAAAAAAAAAATGGATTCAGATCCTAAGCACTGGTCACTAAGAACAAATGGAGTATGTGAAAATCCAAATAATAGGATTGCTCTGTTTGACACTTATATTAGTCATCTTTTCATTATTATAACAAAATACCTGACATAGACTACTTTCAAAGAAAAGGAGGTTAATGTAGCTCACAGTCTTGTAGGTTCAAAGTTGAAGGTCAGGGAGCCCATTGGTTTGGAATTTGGTGAGGGTGGAAGATGGCAGCACATCATGGCAGGAATATGTATGGGAACAAGTGGTCACATCATGAACAAGAAGAGAGAGAATTCAAGGGTAGCAGGAGAACTACCTTCTGAGAGTATGCCCCCCACACCCAGTGTCCTAAGGATTAGACCCCATGAGCACTTCTCAATATTGCCAGCCTGTAATCACACCTCTGTTCACAATGGACCCCTGGAGGACACTCAAATCACACCAAACCATAGCAGCTGATGGAATCTGGAATCTGTGGTGGCTATGAAAGCCAAACTTCTTCAAGAAAAATAGAAGCTGAAAAAAGGAAAATCAGTGAACATGAAGAAGCTAGCATTCAGAAAAAGCAGCAACCATGGACTTCACAAGCTGTAGATGTCATGACAAAAAGGGATTCATTATGAGGTTGTTGCAGAGAAGAGCTAAAATAGTGAGCGGTCCCATTGGTGGCAGATAGCTGGCTTGCTAGCTCAGAGATTCACCTAGGTCATGTCCTCTAGGAATAGCTTTGATATCAGGAACTGGAAGAGCAGCAAGTTCTGTGGTGGGACTCCTGTGCTAGCATCTACAACTAGTGAAATATTTTACACTATTATTTTATCTTTCCCTTTGAGGAATTCTAGCTTAACAGATAAAGAAATAAACTCAGCTAGAAAGTTTGGGCTATTTGCTCAACAGTCAGTGGCAGAGCCAAATTTATTAAGTACTCATTTTTTTTTGTAGTGCTGGAGATTGAACCCAGAGCTTGATGTATGCTAGGCAAGCACTCTGCCCTGAGCTACACCCAAGGCCCAACACAGCAAAATCTAGGACTTAGATGTCCTGACTACACAGTAGAATATTTTTTCAGTATAATATTGCCTCCAAAGGTTAGAAGATCGCTTTTTGAAAGTTTTCATTATTTAATATTTATTACTATGAAAGCAGGATATGTGTACTATATAAAGTTATAAAATACATAAAAACCAAAAATCAGAAAGTAAAAATATATATTCCTCTACCCAGAAATCACTACTACTTAATAATTAAGTCTGTATCATTCCAGATATTTTTCTAGGACATATATA